TTGACACACTATTTTCCTAATTAATGCTGTTCAGTTGCTTTGACACAATCTGTATTGTTAAAAGCGCTATATAAATAAAGGTGACTTGACTTGACTTGACTTCACGACATGGCGGCAGCAACAATACTATACAACAATACCGGAGGGCTAGAGTGAGCGGCGGCCTGCGGATTAGACGAAGGAGCGGCCGGAGGGCTTGTGGCAACCACATGTGATGACCCCGGGCTGGACTCCGCTTCGTCCACGGTGAAAGCCGATCCGGTGATCCACAGCGTGAAGTTGATGTATTTCCTCAGCGACCAGCACGGATCAGCTCCAGGCATGACGAAGCGGATATCGTCCTCTTTTGGAAGGCCAAACAAAGTAGTTTCGCTTTCACAACGAAACACACAGAACACAAACACACGTGTCTTCACGACATGGCGGCAGCAACAATACTACAGCGAGAATAAAAGTTATGCCTTCTTTCTTTGCGTGAACATTTGGGCAGCGTTATGCAAATCTTCCCACATCGTGACGTAGACATTAGGGGGCGTGTTAGAACGAGCCGTTTTAGGTAGGCGTGGTTGACTCTTAACTTTTATAAAGAATATCTCTTTGGATTTGAGACTTTAGTCTTTGCAACTTTACAGATCTTCTTTATGCACCAAGAGCTTGTAATACTTCAAAGAGAAGGAAAAATTGAAATCGCATCATATGACCCCTTTAAGTGTTTTTTTATAAAGTATTCTGGCTAATTTGATAAAATGTTAAGCTACCAATAAGAGTGTAGCTCTGTTTAACATTACCGTTAAACATGATTACAGCAGGAGCAGAAATTGCTGTTGCTCAATTTCACTCAAGTACTTTGTACGTTGTAATATTGCCAAGATGCAGGAACTATAATGGGCATGCTCTTTCACCAGGTGAAGAAGACAATGGAGGCCACTCTACAGACCATCCAGGACATGGTGACCATTGAGGACTTTGATGTGACTGACTGCTTCCACCACAGTAACTCGATGGAGTCGGTCAAGTCCACTGTGTCTGAATCTTTCATGAGCAAACCCAGCCTGGCCAAGAGACGAGCCAACCAGCAGGAGACGGAACAGTTCTACTTCACGGTAAATGAGACAGAGAGGGAGAGAAATCAGTTTAATACAGGGTCACAGGGTTGAAGAAAGGGTGTGGAGGATTGGCGGTGGGAAATCTGTAGCTGGGGGCATGGAAGGACATAAAGAGAAATGGGAAAGGAAGGGTGATGAAGGGAGAGATAAGCGATTGAGTGTTTGAGATACAGCTTAATGTCCTTCCTTCTCTATCAGAGTCTTTTAAGAAGCCTTTGATTGAAAAGACGGCAATTAGAGGAGACTGCTGCAGTTGACAGCTGTTCATTGATCTGTGCTTGTTTGTAGACTGTTTAAACTGTTACGTAGTAATTCGACAAATAACATTACAGAGGAATTTGTTATTCGGACAGATTTTACAAAATACCCAGAACACAGTAGCAGCAGTAAAGCAATGCCCAGAGAGCCACTAACAGCACTTTGTGGCAACTTCATAAGGGAGACTGGGGTCACATGTGTGTTGGTGTCAACTCAGTAGCTATTAGATTTAAAATTAATAAATAAAAACGGTTAAATAAATTCTTGTTTTCTCTATAAGTAGTTTTTGTATGATGGTTTCAAACATCTAGTTCAAAACCCAAAAAATTATATTATTTCATATTGTTTATTTGAAAAATATATTTTTTTATTTATTAGTCAATTAAACTATATAAATATATATTCTTAACTGTATATATATATATATACAGATTGTTACATGTGTTTTATATATGATTTAATAAAATGTATTCAGTATTTTGAATATATTGTATATTTTTATATTTAGTAGTTAACAATAATTTCTTAATCGTTTTACTGTTTTGTTGTTGTTTAGAAAATCCATTTTAATGGCATTCAATAGCCCCATATAGTGTGAAAGCTATTGTCAATGTGTGTTCAGTGAACTGTATCTTTTTTCTGACCAATAATTATTAAAATGTTTGATTGCTTTTTGTAGCCCAGACTTTAAAGTATGTCTATACAGAAATTGGTTTTCTGAAATAAACCTGCTTTAAAAAATAAACAAATTGAGTATAAAAAGTAAGAATAGAACAGTAAGAATATTAATTTCCATTCACACAATGGAAGCACAAGATTAGCAAGCAGAGGTTTGTCACTTGATGTTGTGCAGGCTGTTTTAGCACATCCTCTTCATTAGATCTTATCCTGATGTATTCCTCCCCTATATCTCCTTCTCTCCTCTTTCCCTTTAACTCCCTGTGTACATTTAGCTTGTCTCTTTCTGCCAAAAGCACTAGTGCATGGCTCCATGTGTTGGCTACCCTTCCTGTGTCTGCATGACTGTAATGCTGGTATACCTGTGATATATGATGGATGAAATTGTAAGCATCTGTCTACCCAGCTCCCTCATTCCCTCCGCAGTTTAGGTTTCTCTCCATCTGTCTCCTGACTCCTCTATCTGTCTCTCCGCTGTCAGGTTTCCATCAGGTCAGGGTTCTCGCCCCCAAAGAGCCATAAGCTATTAGAGCACATAGATCCAATGCCTCCCTGTGCTCCAGTGGATATGAAATTAATGTTTACGCCAACAAGATGTATAGTCTCAACACTACACGGCAAATTGGAAAATTTACACGGCAAATCTACACGGGTGGAGGAAGGATCCTGTGCCAGAAAGCAGAGAAAAGGAAGGAAGATTGATTATACTGCGCACTTAATAGCTATTCAAATGAAAATTCACACTCATGTTTGATCATAAGTGTTGAGAGATGGTCTAACGGTTCAAAATGTTTTATATTCTCTGTTTCAGAAACTGAAGGAATTTCTGGAGGGCAGGAACCTCATCACCAAACTACAGGCTAAACATGACCTGATCCAAAAGACTTTGGGAGAAAGTGAGTAATCGTTCTTGATTGATGTGTGCATGTGTGTTGATGAGCTTTAGTTTGGGGACATTTTAATTGGAAAAACTAATGTCATAAAATATTGTGGGTGTAATCTTGCTTTTCTTCAGAAACACGTTAATATGGAGTAAATTATATTTTAGACACAATAGTACCAGTTACTTTTTGCTTCGCAAGTGAAAATACTTCAAAACTAATTCAAAGCAAAATCCACCATTGTGCTTCTCAGAGCAACACACAGTTCTCTAAAGGAATCAGTGTTTTGAATGAATTGGTTGAGAAAATGATTCAGTGTGTCATTCATAAAGACTGACTAAATTATCCGTTAGTAATCAGACTCAATCGGACTGAAAAGCCTTCATGTAGATACCTCAATCAATCCAACCGAGCTTGATCTGAATTAAATTTTGACTGGATAGGAAGGGGTGGCCTAGACCTGAAATAATTTGATCAATACGAAACAAAAAATAAGCATGTAAACGCCTGAATCCAACTATTTTCCTCAATCTTTTTTAAAAACTTGCATGAATTTTGTGCTATGCACATGTAAACGATTGTGAATCAGATTGCAAAATTTAAAGTTCATATAGGGGTGGGCGATATGGCCAAAATATCATATAATGATTTTTTTTTTTTCAGGAAAATCACGATTTGATCATGATTCAAAGATACACATTACAAATACACATAATATACAAATAAAATAAACGCACAAGGTTTACATATAAACACAAGGTATACATAAAGTTGGTTATGTCTAAAGTGGAAGAAAACAGTTGAGAGAAAAACAGATGCTTGTCTGTATATAAGATGCGTGCAGGTCTTAAAGTGACAGCAGACTAATAGTATTAAACATGCTGCCGCTTGTCATTAAAGGGATAGTTCACCCAAAAATTATAATTCTGTAATCATTTGCTCACTCTCAAGTTGTTTTAAACCTGAATGAGTTTCTTGTCCACAATCAAAAATCATGATATTGCATTTAAACAGAACTTTCAGAATCTGAAATTGGATTGGATTCACTCGGATTGCTGAAAATTAGTGCTTGTAAACATACCTAGTCTCTTGTTTCATCCTGGAATGAACCAGTCATGTGCTTTGTTCCCAAATGAATCAGTGTTTTCGAGTGAATGACACTCAACCAATCAAATTTGAGTACAGAAACACAATGTTGTATAATTAGCCTATGGTTTGTCATTAGTATGTTACGTCCTCATTTAGATAGCTAAGTAAATGTGTGTAAAATTATGCATCAAATTATAAAATTATTATTTAATTATTTATCTAAAAAATAATGTTTCTTTTATGTGTAGGGTTAGTGTTAATATGCTTGTGTGGGGTGTTGCAGTGTCAGGCAGAGAGGGTGCTGAATTGACTGTGTGTGTGTGCTAGCTTGAGGATGGTACTGATGTCATCAGAGCATGAAGCTTTAACAGTGCAGTGCGGCTCTGTACTGCTGTCCTCTGGACCTTAGCGTGATCTTATTCACTTACTCATAGGCAGCCCTTGATGGTGGAGATTAAAGGTCATGTGCCACGCTACAAGACAGAGAAAATTAGTCTGTGCAAGAAAGAGAAGAGCACAGCAGGGATTTCCTTGAGTGTTTTTCACTCTGATGTACCTCCCACGTTCATTCCTCCAGACTGAACGGAACTGTCAGCCAGTTGGTCCGAACTGCCTGTGAACAGGAAATGAAACTGAGAGAATCACTCTGATGGCACATGATAACGAAGAGATAATTATGTGTGTTGGAGAGAGTAGTGGTGTTGATTACTCTATCGTGAAATAAGCATGCTAGCTGAGACTAGTTCGGTCAGAAAGATTATCTAATAGTTTTGAGTTAAAGTAATAATTTTGTAGATGTTAACTTTCTCCTCCATTACTCCAGTCTTCAGTGTCACATGAACCTTCAGAAATCATTCTGATATGCTGATTTGGTGCTCAACATTATGATGTACAGTATGAAAAATGAATATTCACTTTGAGATTTACATTTAAGAGTGTTATTAAATTATTAGTAATTATTGGTGATTTAATTCAAATGAGCATTAGATAACTGCAAATGTAATCTAAATGTAAAGATTATGTACAATTAAATATCCAATATTAATTAATACTGATAAATGACTGCATGGACAAACACCACTCACATTTTCTTCAGAGCACCTGGATCTTTTTCCCACTGTGATTTGGATTGATTTCACAGTGACATAATGGTTGATTGGATTTGTTGATCAAATTTGAAACACCTCAGTTATTCACAAGCTGTCTTATTCATTTTGTCAAATGACAAAAACAGATTTCAACGTCAAAATGCCTCAGTAAATCCAGGCTTTGGTGTGAAATGGTGCCGAGTACAGTGTGTGCAACCCCGGCTGCTGTTACTGAGGAAACTGACAGAATGTTCCAGCACAGATTGAGGGAAACAAAGTGGTTTGGATGATTAGCTTGAAGTCAGTTGCACGTTTGGCATTTGCTGTGTCGAACTGTGTGTGATGGGGGAAAATAGCACGTTGTGATGTCGCTGACTGTGTTTGGAGGGGAACGTGTGGATATGGGGTCACGTCCCACAAGAAGGTCCTCTGTGACAGCATAGACAAGAAGCGGGACGAGTGTTTTATTCCCAAAAGGAAACCGTGTCCAGCTGTGGCCTCTTCCTCACACATCCAGCCTCCCTCTAACTGTTTCCTCTGTCTTTTTCCTTTTGTTTCTACTTGTATCTCTTCATTCAGGTCAGAAGACCGACTACTGCCTTGCCAGGTGAGTGCTGTGGGAAAGCCAACAAATCCAAACAAGACACAAACCATTTACGCACAAGAATTAATTTAGTACACATGTAGATGTTTCAGGGCCATTTATAGATGAATATCTTGTCTAGACATATTCATCTTTTATTCACACATCTGCTGATTTATTTATTGAGGTTAGGGGTAGGTGATTTAATCTGCCATTATAATGGAGCAGCAAGGAAAATGGAATGGACCTTTAAACAAGAGTTCACAAAAGAGACAAAACAAGCGCTTTCACAACAAATACTGCTGTGTGCGTGTTTAAGGCCAGTGTATTAAAATAGGACCCTTCTCGGTAGGGTGATTTCTACTGGTCTAATGGCCACATGCAGTTTGTAAATTGAATGTGGAGGAAAATTAGAGCAGTTTGAGGGAAAATGATCCATTGTAATGACAACTTTCTCTTGTTCTCTCCATCTCTCTCTTGCTTGTGTCCATCAGCGGACGGAGGAACTCCACTGTTCGGAAACAGGTAATTATCCCCACTCGCTGGTAGAATTGACTGGGAATTGATTCTGGATCAATTCACAAACAATCATAATCAGCTATTGTTATTGAAATCAATATACAGGACAAAACATTACAATGATGTAAAGTGCTGGGAAAACAGTGGATTGGCATATATTATCAAAAAATAGTGTGCTGACACTGTGCAAACAAACAAACCTTTATATAAAAAGTATATATATATATACAGTGGGTACGGAAAGTATTCAGACCCCCTTCAATTTTTCACTCTGTTATATTGCAGCCATTTGCTAATTCACTTCATATTTAAAGGAAATGTGTTTACTCAGAAATCACTCAGGACATAATTTGTCTCAATTGAAACTGCTAAGATGTGCACTACATGTTTCTTTATTTGTTGTATGGTTGTTTGTGTATTTATTTGTTGTATGTATTTATTTATATTGATTTAATTTAGTTATTATTTATTTCATGTTTATTTTACTTTTTTGTTTGTTTGTTTTGTTTTGTTTATGCTCATTCTGATGTGGCATCTCATTTACTCAGAGCCACAGAGCCACCTCTGGATACTAGGTTATTATTCATTTATTTTTTAAATTTTTGTATATAATTATTTTTATTTAGCACTAGCAGCAATGAATGTAATTACAGTGGGTACGGAAAGTATTCAGACCCCCTTCAATTTTTCACTCTTTGTTATATTGCAGCCATTTGCTAAAATCATTTAAGTTAATTTTTTTTCCTCATTAATGTACACACAGCACCCCATATTGACAGAAAAACACAGAATCGTTGACATTTTTGCAGATTTATTAAAAAAATTGAAGGGGGTCTGAATACTTTCCGTACCCACTGTATTTGTACAGAGACCATGCTTTTTACATTTTCAATCTCTACCCAACCAACCCAGAAAAAATAATTATATTAATTATATTTAATAATATAATTAAATTAAATAAATACTAAAATAATTAATCTAAAATAAATAAATAAAAGTAATACATAAAAATATTAAATAAAATCATATTAAAAATAAATTGTGTGAATACTATTTATTCAGATAATAAATAGTATAAATTAACATATCTATAATTAAAAACAATCAAGAACATCAGAGTTCAATGAGGTCACTCTGTGGATATATACACATATACATAATCCAAGATTTGTAATTGAATCGAATCTCTATGAATCACAGTCGAACATTCCCAACCTTACTTACATGTGACACGTGTGATGTATGTTTGTATTTGTATTACTGTATGTGTACATTTTTGCTGTAAATATGTACTTATGTTCAGTGCATGTCTCTTTAGGATAAGTAATATAACCGTAATATAGCAGTTCCACCCTGCAATCATTATGCACATGGCAGTGGGATAAATTTGAAAATTGGGCCAGGGAGATAAATTTAGTGTACACGTCCTACCACCTAAACCCTACCCCTAGGGGTTTACCACCCTACAGTATGGGTGAACAAAGAAAAGGACCCACTGCATCTCCTCGTTTGACCACCCCAATGTCCATGTCGCCCTCTAGTGAAGGATAATGATATAAGAGCAATATTCTGTGACTAGAAGACAAATGATTTGAGAAAATAAGATTCATTGAGAAAAATTCATACAAAAAAATCCATGATACTGATGTAAGTATGTATAAGAGTTTGTGAGCGCGACCTTCGAGCAATAAAGTTCAGGCCAGATGTGGCCCAAATTCTACTTTACTTAGCCGTTTCTTGCTCACCCAAATAAACAAAAGGAAGCTGTGGAGAGAAGCTGTCTCCTAGCAACCGTTGCCCCATTCCCATGGCTCAAACTGTGCTGCTTTTTCATCCCTCCCAAATTCTGTCTGATGCCAGCCTCCCTTTGCAAATATTATTATTATTTAAGCACTCTGCCGACAAACAGAGACCCTTGTTCAGAAAGGTTTCCTGTGCTGCAAAATGTCCAGAGAAACCCCCCGAACCATTTGAAAGGACCTGCATATTTTCTCCTTCATATTTTGTTTTCGGTTTCCTTCTTTTAGGAGTCCAGCCAAATCATTCCCCTGATGGTGGAGAGTTGTATTCGCTTCATCAGTCGACACGGTGAGCTCTCTCTCTCACTCAATTTCTATTTCTTGCCAAAGGCACTATTGCTGTGACGCTCTCTAGACTTTCCCTGACGAAATGAACAAAGTGTTCTGTTATGCTTCATTTATTTTTCTATCATACAGTATATACCACTTCCATTCCTGTAGCAATATCCAGTGTTTCCATTTTTTTTTTTTTTTTTTTAATCTGAGGATTCAACTCAATTTAGTCCCAACTAAGAACTAAACAAAATAATGGTATTTGTTTATTTATTTATGAAATATCAGGGAATAACATTTTTTCCAAAAATTATTGAAATTATTAAAAAAGTTTCTAGTGAATATACATTTTTCTCATTGTGCTCTGTTCCAAAAATGTAATCGGCTAGAAATGACTTCAGATTTTTTAATGATTTTTCCATGGTGAAGTCATGGATACTCAGTGGTCAAATGGGGTGGAAACTGTGTATTTTTTAAATGTGTATCTTTAACTACAGGTTGTCTTATAAACAGGTTATTTATTTATTTAAACTCGGAGAAACTCAGGCAAACTAACAATTCAACACAAATGATTTCTTTTGCCATGATACTGAAGATTCAGTAGACCCAGCTTGAGTTAAGATTATATCAGTATCTACTATGAAGTACAAACACTTCAAGTGCCAGAGTAAACCAACACGACACTTCCTATCTATTCTCTGTCCATAACGTCATGTCTGTGTCTGTACAGGTCTCCATCACGAGGGGATATTCAGGGTGTCTGGCTCCCAGGTGGAAGTCAATGATATTAAGAGCGCTTTTGAAAGAGGTGAGTCTATCTGGACTGTCCTATGCTGAGCCTTCATTTATCTATTTTGAATCAAGCCTGCATTCTTAAAGGATGCTTACTTTCTTCTCCGTCATTGTGTCTCAGGTGAGGACCCGCTGGCTGGGGACCAGAATGATCACGATATGGACTCCATCGCTGGAGTGTTAAAGCTCTACTTCAGAGGCCTGGAGAACGCCCTCTTTCCTAAGGAAGTCTTCCATGACCTAATGTCCTGTGTCTGTGAGTGTCCGCTTTATTTCCTACACCCACGTGCATTCTGCAGACCAGTCTTACCAGATTAGACAATGGATGAGCTTTTGTCCTAAAATAACTCATTTCTTGTTCATGTTGTTTTTTCCAGCCATGGAGAACCTCCAGGACAGAGCTGTCCACATCCGCAAAGTCCTGCTGTCTCTACCCAGCAACACCCTGGTTATCATGAGATACCTGTTCGCTTTCCTCAACCAGTAGGTTCCGCTGATCAAATCTTGTCTGGAATGAGTTTTCCCACCAAAGTTATTTTTGTTAGTGTGTGATTTTAACTCAAGACAAGGTCTGTGACAATCATTTACTCCCCCTCGTGTCGTTCCAACCCCGTATCACTTTCTTACGTCCAGGGAACACAAAAGTAGATGTTTTGCAGAATGTCCCAAGTGCCCTTTTCCATGTGAAAGTGAATCAGGGTCAATACTGTCGAGCTTCAAAAAAGACAAAAAAAGGTTCATTCATTAAAATAAGAGTGGTCCATATGGCTTGTGCTCGATGTTCCAAGTAATTCCATAGACTGTTATGTTATTAATCAATTAAAATGTCACTTGCATCTCTAAAATCTGATCTCACTGGCACCTGCGTTTGGTTAAAGAATGGCTTGTGAAGATGCATTGTAAGTTTGATGTCAGTGATTCCAAATGCCATTTGTTGACTGTGTGCCGTTATTGATCGTGCCACACAAAGTTCGATTTGTGGAATTGTAAATAGGATTAGACATGAGTTTAAAAAAAAAAATTCTGCCAAAAAAGCTTTATGGTTTAACATTTGAAAGCAAAGAATATGTCCACAGACCATATGTCCGTTTGTCATCTTTTTTACCCAATGACTTTGCATCCCTGAAGATATGAGATTTTCAGTGAGTAAAGGAATAAAAACAAAGTTAGCGGTTTGGAGCAACATGAGGGTGAGTAAATGATGCCGGATTTATTTGAGTGAACGATTCCTTTAAACCAGTGCCAGTATATGGTGATTTCTTACAGCTTACCATACAAAGAGCTTATATACAATCTAAACTTACCATTTTACATGACCTTTTTACTACAAATTTAAATATTGTTTTACCAAAAAGAGAGGATTGGCCCATACCCAACCTCAGCTGAGGGCTACGGCACTCAAGCCTCTTGGAACGTGTCCCTCCGTATCTTTGCCTCTCGTACATCCACTTTTTTCCACCCTGTGGTCCTTTTGAAAGACACTCCAGACCACAACACGATCTTAGCTTTTACTCCAGCCCGCCGTTGTGCATGCAGGCATGTCTGGTTTTCCTAAAACATCTGAACCCTTTCCAGCCCTCGTATCACAGCCAGAAGGGTGAAGCGAATGTGTGTTCAAGTATGGTGTCGCCATCAAGCCACCATTAGTGTTCCAATGCTGGATGTCTGTAGCCCTCAGTGAATGGCTTCTCTGTTTGCTCCACGGCTGATAGATCTTTCCTCTGCTATAAAAGTCAGTGGAGGTGCCAGAATGGGTCTCTAAAGAACTGCTGCGCTCTCTAATGCGCTATAGCCAGCGTTACAGCCAATCATGTGCGTCGTCCGTAGGAATGCGTGGTATACACTCACAAATACACATCAAGAGAGCTTACTTTGATGGTATAGACATTTGCAGACAGAAAAAAAGAAAGAGAGATGGGTAATTGGAGACCCTTGTGCAGTTGTAACTGTCTGGGCGGGACAGTACTCATAAATTGCTTTGGAGCCTTTCCATGTGGACATTTATGTGCCCCTACTGCTTTTATCCCACAAATACAATTAAGGATACCTGTCCCCACTTTTTGGACACATCCAAGTTTTCAGTAATCAAACAAAGTGGGTGTACTGTGGAGTAAGAAGGGAAACAATTAAAAGGGTGTAGCAATTCAGAACAGTCTCATAGACACACATAAATGGGAGAAAGCTGGTTTAGGCTCATGATAAATGAGCTGTCGTAAGGAAGTGTAGATAGAGACTCAGTCTGGAACTCAATCTGTCTTTCACATTAGTCCAGCAGAAGCTGGTCTCTTCATGAGAAAAGTCATATGATCAAGGATCATTTTAACGTGTCTGGATAGTATGACTATTTTGTAATTTTTTTTTTATTATTATAATTTTTTTATTTATTTGGTGTGCTTCAAACCATGTGTCAGCTGTTAATGTATATTCTTAAGTTTAGTTCTTTTTTATGTATTTATTTATTAATTTTTAGGGCTTAATTATAAGCTAGGAAAGCTAATAATTAATTAAATAATTTTTAAATAGTTTGTATTTTTTTTTTTAAATAAATATTCATAAAATTAAAACAATCAGGATGCAACACTCACTAAAAAAAGATACAACATATTTTGTAATGTGATGGAGGAAGAGTGAGGGATTGTGGGAAACCAGTGATTTGCTGTCTGTTTATTGGAGATCAATTTTTTACCATTATTATTTTTTGTTTTGTTTTGTTTACCCGCATGCCATGTGACCATTAACCAAGATCAAAGAACGATGAACATGCAAATGTATTATTAAAATATTAGCTTAAAATTCAAGTAAATATAAAAAAAAAGGCAATCTCTGTTTACTTAATTAAATAATTTATTTTAATAATTTAATTATAATCAATTTTGATCAATTTATATTCCTATGTTTTGCTTAACTGTTTTTTTGTTTTTTTCTCTTTCTTTTAACTAGCCTGTCCCAGTACAGTGACGACAACATGATGGACCCCTACAACCTGGCTATCTGCTTCGGCCCCACACTCATGTCTGTGCCCGAGGGCCACGACCAAGTCTCCTGCCAGGCACATGTGAACGAGCTCATCAAAACCATTATTATCCATCACGAGTGCATCTTTCCAGGGCCCCGTGAGCTGGAGGGGCCCATCTATGACCGTGGAGGAGCCGCTGAGGAATACTGGTGAGTCTAGAATGAGCGTGAGTGAATTTGGTTGCAAAAAAAAGAAAAAAGGATGAAAATGAAGCATATAATCTTGGCAAAATTCATTGGCAGTGAATACTGGCCCCACATTTTATTTGAGCAGCTGCTCAGCCAAACCACAAAACCAGAAATGAGTTGATCAGACGAGCTTGATTTAATGCAGAACCAGTCAGACATGATGGATTGAGCATTATAAATATAAAGACCAACAGAGCCCTACAGGGAGTCAGTCGCTTTTTAAAGTGTACATCCTATGTATATTATGCTCATTTAAGCCGTCAGTTCAATGGTTGAAAACAGATAAATTTCTGACCCTCAGCGTGTATCAGCACACGACCTAGACTCCCAAAAGATGTCACAGTGAAAGCAACCAGAATACTGGCAGGCAGCCAGACTCGTAAAACACCATCATGAGGTCCGTTTTTAAATTAAAAACGAGGTTATCCTTCCCTGCTCGAGGCCAAGTGCTAATGAAATGCCCTCCCACAGCTTTTTAATAACTGTTTCAGATTTCATAGAGGAAATGACTTCAGATTGGTGTGTCACTGTGAAAAGAAAGCGTTGTGTCCAGATCAGGTTTGTTTGTGAGATACAGGCTTAAAGACGTGGATCATTTCATGTGGTTTTCATGCACGGGATTGCTTAGATTGCATGGGTGGTGTAATTAAGACTTTGAGCTGCTGAGATGATGTTTTTAGCTTCGGGTTTAGTCAGAGTCTCATTTCAGCTTCCTGAGGCTTTAGGTCACGTGAAGTCGAGACACGTTAACAACATATTGTAGTTAACACATAGCAAACAAGTTCCTGTCCTGGTATGGTATATTACTGGTCATTCTGTATTTGAACTTCATTTAACATCTGTATAGCCTCAGATCTGAATTTGAAGTGCGTGTGAAAATTCTGATATTTTATTGAGCAGTGTAATATCAAAGCATAAATGTTCAAACATTTCCCCCAAATGTTCATTTCTGTATTGTGAAACAAAACTCATTCAACAAAGACGTATCCTGTCTTATAAAAACTTTTGCATTTATTATGGTGATGATAATTTGGGGAGACTTGTGATTAACTGCTCTAAAAAAGTGACCCAGGCAGTTTTTGACAGTCAAATTAATTTTACGCAGTGGGATCATCACTGTCCTTGCAATGCAAAAGTAAACGTTTTGTCAAAGACTGATTCTGAGAGCAGAATGAGACATCCAGTGTCTCTGGGGAAGACATTAAAAATCACAGCAGCTTCTGACCTCCATGAACACTAACTCATCTGCTCAAGGGTGAAGAACCCACACGGATCATTTTACCTTAAGAACCCAGATCAAAGCTACACTCGGGCTCTCAGATGGAGTGACAGGAGGATCACAGGATCTTCTTCACCAACTAACTACTCAATAAGGCCAGTCTGTCATTTGAATGATTCACTGAAACACTGATGGACGTGTGCTTTGCCAAACCTGTCGGACACTGTCTCCGTACACACAGCAGGCAGAGATTAGCACATTATACAGTCATTACCCCCATGTTCCTTTTGTCTAAAGCTGCTCTCTAATGAAACTAAGCTTTTCATTAGCCCAGACTTCATGCTTGCCAACTGTCTATGTAATAAACCGGGATGGTCTTCGTAAGATATATTCCAGCAGGGTAGAGTACTGCATTTTCACTCTAGAGCTTGAATTTCCTCCAGCACGTTACGAGAGAGCGGCTTTTATTGGTACAGTGATGACAGTGAATTAGGCAGTGTTTTTGCTTGAGTGCTCAATAGGAGATCAGGTTGTTCAGTTGGATTTTGTGCTAAATTAATACTTGGGTTATTAGAAGGTTTCTTGGCCTGTGAATGGCATAACAGAGCTGTTATCAGCACCGAGGCCTTCATGACCTTGGAAACAAGCCATTTTCCTGTGCATTAGTACAGTGTTTTCTGGTCACATTAGATTCCCTACTGGAGTTGAGTGAGGGCAGGTTCAGTTTAGAGTCAAGAGGCCACAGGAAAGTCCAGCTTTGATCCTTGTATCTGTGGTCTACTTCCTGTTTTGCTTCAAAGAAGCATGAACACACTGTTCCAGGCCTGAAGAGTGAGGCATAGAGAGACTTAAAGTCATAACTGGTTCTCAGAAATGTCCTCATTCACCGTTTTATGCCCTTATTTTATCTTTCCTTCTTCTGCTCTTTCCCTCTCAGTCCCGATTTTTTACAATAGCAGTCAAAAGTTTGAATTTACCTACTCATTCTTGATTATTACTGTTTTCCTCATTTTTGAATGGGGAAAGCAGTAATAATCTAAGGTTGTAAAAACTATAAAATATCTGTCTGTCTATATTTATTTACATTTTAAAAGTTTGGGGTAAGTAAAATATTTCTTAAAATATATTTCTTTAAAGAAATAAATACTTTTATTCTGCAAGAATGCATTAAAATGATCAAAAACAATTAGGCATTTATAATGTTACAAAAAATATATTGAAATGGAAAACAGTTATTTAAAATTGTAATAATATTTCACAAGATTAGTTAAAATAAAATTATTTTATTTAAAACAAAATTTGCAGCCATGGTGAGCGTAAGAGACTTCTTTCAAGAGCATTGAAAAAATCTTGCCAACTCAAACAAAGAGTTTGTGTATTTAATGGAAATTCATGCCTTCATACAATTTGTCTACAAAATGTTATGCAAAAAAGTTTCAAATAGTTTCAAGCATTTAAGCAGAAGCCTGTAGAATCATAAGGTCTTCAAGATCATTTTACTCAGGTGTCTAGTCAACTTTTCATTAGGTCACCTTTTTTTAATTTGTTAATGTAGATGTAAGTGTGTATTGCATGTAACTGTTGCTCTCTGTATTAATGTAATGGTTAAAGTTTGTGTTGTTGTCATTTCAAATGTCTGTAATTGAGGTTTCCACTGATTCATGTTTCTTGTGGTCAATTCTACAGTGATAATCCACACATTGAGCCCCCTCTAGTGGATGAACCTGCACCTGACACCGTCTCTGAAATCCACAACAGTGATGATGGTGAGTCCAGATGCCATTCAAACGACCGTACTAACAAGCACACAAATCTTTCATAAAGACACACTGTTGCCGTTATCATCAGTCAGCTCACTATCATGGAAGCTCCTGTTTCATGCCCTCGTGTGTCCATGCACCTTTTCTGCAGCTCCAAACCTGTCATGATAAATGTGCTCTAACCTGCTTGGCTTCCCACGCAATAACCCTTTTTCTTTCCCTTGTGCTCTTTCTTCCCTCTCGCTCTCTCCCCTTCCTGTCCTCTCTCTTTTTGTCTTCCTCTGTTTTTCCTGTCTTTAAGTAGTAAAGTCAGGGTCCTTGAACGTTTCAGAGTCTGACCCTATTGAGGCCATCGCACGTTTTGACTACTCTGGACGCACCAACCGTGAGCTTTCCTTTAAGAAGGGGGCGCCTTTGCTGCTGTACCACCGTGCATCTGAGGATTGGTGGGAGGGTCGCCACAACGGCACTGATGGACTGGTGCCGCACCAGTACATAGTAGTGCAAGACATGTAAGCTGTCCGGTTTATTGACTTGAACTGCTGATACTAGTAGTTACTTATCTATTGTACTGATCAGTTAGACCGCTCATAGTGTATGTGAATTCTAGAGATGTCTGTGATTTTGTGTGATAGGCCGGATGGATATGCAGGCAGAGGAAGTCCCAAAGCTGACCTAGAGGCTTCCCATGATGCTGTGGAAGAGAAGGTGTCCACCAGAGCCAGTGCTAGCTCACCCACTGGAGGTCATGTAGCTGATATCTACCTAGCTAACCTCAACAAGTAAGTTAACTGTTCATATGGTCTTCATTAATAAAAATGGTGTGCAAAACAGAATATACAATGTTAAAAATATTAATTAAAATTTAGAAAGGCAGATTATATATGTTGTTCCGTATTTAGGTATTTAGTAGCAAGTATTTAAAATATTTAAATTATTTTCATTATATGTGACCCTGGACCACAAAACCAGTCTTAAGTCGCTGGGGTATATTTGTAGCAATAGCCAAAAATACATTGTATGGGTCAAAATTATAGATTTTTATTTTATGCAAAAAAATCATTAGGATATTAAATAAAGATCATGTTCCATGAAGATATTTTGTAAATATCGTACCGTAAATATATCAAAACGTAATTTTTGATTAGTAATACGCATTGCTAAGAGCTTCAATTGGACAACTTTAAAAGCGATTTTCTCAATATTTAGATTTTTTTTTCACCCTCAGATTCCAGATTTTCAAATAGTTGTATCTCGACCAAATATTGTCCTATCCTAACAAACCATACATCAATGGAAAGCTTATTTATTCAGCTTTCATGTGATGTATAAATCCCATTTTTGAAAAATTTACACTTAAGACTGGTTTTGTGGTCACCTGTCACACACACACACACACACACACACATATATATATATATATATATATATATAGTACATATACATTATAGACAATAAAAATGTAAAAACAATTAACTGATTATGTGAAGTATATATATATGTGAAAATTATGACTTTATCCATCTCACTTTATCCATCTCAGGATGAGAAAACGGCCTGAAGCGACCAGCATCCGTAGACCAATCCGGCCAGTGGAGGGACTAGGTGAGGGCTCATCCGGAGCAGCAGGGGGTTTAAAGACCTCCTCCATGCCGGCAGGTGGATATGCCAAGGAGGGCACAGACAAGCGGCCGGTCAGTGCTCACAGTGTTCTAAACTCCATCACCCGACACTCCTCTCTGAAGGTAGAAGGTCCTCAGCTCCGCAAGTCCACTCCTGCAGGACGATCAAAGAGTTTCAGCAATCACAGACCACTTGACCCAGAGGTCATCGCTCAGGTGGAGCACAGCTCACAGGTACAACAAACCCAGAATCTGGGCATGTCATTCAGTGTGGCACTGCTTATTATTTAAATTCAGAAACATTCAGACCCTGTCAGTTTTCATACACACTTACACTGAATAAGAATGACATGCATGTAAACAGAAAATCAATTTTTTCCACTCCGGAAATAGTCCTGAGCTCTCCAGAGGAGTGTCTGTTTTTTAGAATGTCCTATTTATCTTTCTTTGAGCTGTAATTTCACGGCTGGATAGAGGGCCAGAATCGATCCCGGCTGTGGTTATAATTGAGTTCCTGCGGTCCAGTCATTCTGAGTGTGGACATCTCACAATTTTATTGTTGTACTTGCTACACAACAGTTGTATATGTGCATCGCAGTTGTTGGATGTTGTCTTTTTGAAAAGGAGTGAAATACTGGAAAATGCCACTAAAATCCATCAAAATGTGGCTACCATTCAAATTCTTTCATTAAAAAAAACAAAACAGCCAGTTCACCAGTAACTTTTTTGAAATTGCAGCATATACATGGTTTAAATTGCAAACAAAATGTTATATACAAAAATATTACAAACAAAATATGATTCGTTAACCAGGTAACCAGGCTTTTATAAGGAATACTTTTATTTGATGTTATTCGTGACCTTTTTAAGGTTGTTTTAATTTTGGTTTTATTTATGAGACCGCAAACACACTGTGTGAATTCAAGTGTTTTATTGTAAATTAAATTAAATTGAATGAAATTATAAGAATAAAATAAGAAGAAACGATCTTGTGCCGTTCATCAAAAATATTCATTAGAAAAAAACTGATAAATAATTCAAAATAAATTCAAGTCTTTTATTGCTGTACATACAATAAAATAAAATAAGACGAAACTTTGTTCATTAGAAAAAACTGATTTCAAAAAATTCAAATTAATAATAAAATAGTTAAATAATAGAATGTTTTTATATTATATGTTTTATATACTAATATTATATAAAACATATAATATAAAATTAATATAAATATATATATATATATATACATATTTTCTCTTTTTGTCTTTCTTCATTTATCTCTCTTTTTTTCAGGACATTGAGGCGACTATGAACACTGCTCTAAGTGAGCTGCGAGAGCTGGAGAGGCAGAGCAACGTCAAACACGCCCCTGACGTGGTGCTTGACACTCTAGAGCAACTGAAAAGCGGCGGGGCGGCTGAACAGAGGAGTGTCTGTTTTTTAGAATGTCCTATTTATCTTTCTTTGAGCTGTAATTTCACGGCTGGATAGAGGGCCAGAATCGATCCCGGCTGTGGTTATAATTGAGTTCCTGCGGTCCAGTCATTCTGAGTGTGGACATCTCACAATTTTATTGTTGTACTTGCTACACAACAGTTGTATATGTGCATCGCAGTTGTTGGATGTTGTCTTTTTGAAAAGGAGTGAAATACTGGAAAATGCCACTAAAATCCATCAAAATGTGGCTACCATTCAAATTCTTTCATTAAAAAAAACAAAACAGCCAGTTCACCAGTAACTTTTTTGAAATTGCAGCATATACATGGTTTAAATTGCAAACAAAATGTTATATACAAAAATATTACAAACAAAATATGATTCGTTAACCAGGTAACCAGGCTTTTATAAGGAATACTTTTATTTGATGTTATTCGTGACCTTTTTAAGGTTGTTTTAATTTTGGTTTTATTTATGAGACCGCAAACACACTGTGTGAATTCAAGTGTTTTATTGTAAATTAAATTAAATTGAATGAAATTATAAGAATAAAATAAGAAGAAACGATCTTGTGCCGTTCATCAAAAATATTCATTAGAAAAAAACTGATAAATAATTCAAAATAAATTCAAGTCTTTTATTGCTGTACATACAATAAAATAAAATAAGACGAAACTTTGTTCATTAGAAAAAACTGATTTCAAAAAATTCAAATTAATAATAAAATAGTTAAATAATAGAATGTTTTTATATTATATGTTTTATATACTAATATTATATAAAACATATAATATAAAATTAATATAAATATATATATATATATATACATATTTTCTCTTTTTGTCTTTCTTCATTTATCGTCAATGTCTACCACAGGTCTGTCCGCTTCCAGCTCCACCTTCAGAGATAACAAACCCCCAGCCACCAGACCCAAGCCTGTGGTGTTCCCAAAAAGCAGTTCGGCCGGGGGCAGTCCGGCGATGGGATCCCCGACCACCACCATACCGCCAACACCACCACCCCCTCCACCACCCACCGACAAGTCCTGCCCGGTCTGAGCGTTTACAGCCTCGATCTGTGATCCGTTTCTTAGGAATTCCAAGAGCACCCTCTAATACTGACTTTTTTGGATCTTAACAGAAAACTGCGGACAACTTAACAGACTCAAACTGATATTGGATGCTTGCGTGAGTGAGTTTGTGTGTGTGTGTGGAATTAATATACACTTGTGGAAATATTGGAGTAGTTTTAAAACACTGTTTTAGTTTGGATTGAGACACTCTTCTCTAATCCCAAAATTAGTGGTTTTGATTTTTTCCGCCTGTATATAGACTGATTTTATAGGAAAGGGGTCAAACTTTGAGGACGAACGAGCAGTGGATGTGCTTTCCGAGGACACTTTCTTCCCCTCAGACTTTGGTGCTGGTGCAGCTTGAAGCAGGTTACAGACGGCACAGCATCGTAGTGAATAGAAACAAATTTTCCTGATATGAATTTGCCACTCCTTGTCACATAACAGCATTACAACCTGATCACAAATCTGTCTTTTTCTACAGATTCTACGAATCTGTTATACAATAATCAGTAGTTACAGTTCATATAATCCACATTGGCACAGTCTCTGCTTCTCTTTTTTACAAATCTTGCCATCAAAAGGCAACTAAACACACCAAATAAATGAAATAGGAGCATCTCTGCATGAGGATTCATGATACAAGATATTTGCATGGTGAACATGGATTCCCTAAGAAACAGATTTATTTTCATACACATCAAAAGCACTTCTGATAATAAAAAGTCATTTTATTGTGCTATTATATCAGCGGGCACATAAAAAGAGGGTGTTGTTTTGTATAAGTTTAATAATCATGATTATAACTGGAAAAAAGTATCTAAAAATGAGGAATGTCATGCAAGCACATTATTTCTTCATAGCCCGTGTATAAAAATAAAAACAGGTTAAATAAAACATAATTTTATTTAATTTTCCCTAGGTCATTACTCACCTTTGGGTCTGTATCATGGTATCTATGTATTAGTATGTGTGTTTTCGTACAGTATGTATATTCTGAATCTTAACAGCCTAACAGCAGCTTTTAAAGATTTACGGCTTTACAATACAAAAAAAGGGAAAGACTTCAAACAGACTAACGGGGGACACATGCAAAAACGTAGCTTGCTTTCCTCAGTTTTTCCAACTCAGAAAGGATAAGCATGCAAAAAGCCTCTTTAAAGTCTGACAATCTTCATCACACGGTCTGCCTGATTATGCCTTCGACAGAATGGATCGGACAAGTCTGTATTTTCCTAAGCGAGGCCTTATTGTCCTAGAAAATGAGTTGTGGTGGTTTGCAAAAGTAGCCTGCTTCACTTTGAAGCATTACAAGCTCTGTACAGTCTAACATGCATGACTGACTGTGACTCCTGGAAAATATCTACGGACAGACTGAGATGTTTATGACCCAGGCTTTTTTTTTTTTTCCCCCAAATAACTTTTTTGAGGACAAGCCTTTTCCTAACGTTTTATTTTCTGAATGTGTTGTTGTGTTCTGAAAATGTCTTCACAGGTGGTTACATTTGTTCATGTGTTAATGATTGGAAGTATTCTGTGTGTGTTGTTCCTGATACCTCATAAAGGCAACTGGAAACTGTCTTATTGGAGTTCTTTTGTGAGTGGGACTTTTACATGCAAATGACAGCAGGAAACTCATGGTGTGTGTGTTTAATGTGTAATGTTAATAGTATGCTGTTGGCCGAGGCCTCTGTTTACACACATACTGTTTTCTTTCATTGTGTAAATTGAAATCAATCATTATACACTTGAATCTGCATTGTATGTTTGTGAACGAATTAAGTGATTTTCTTTCTTTTTTTTGTGATCATAACTATTGTTAAAATGTAATTCCTGTCTAATTGAAACAAGACTGTAAAATTAATTGTCTTGTCAGATATATTTATAGTTGTCCATTCAGATATCTGTTTCCAGAGAAACCTGTGTTCAGATGTACTTACAATATATTGTGTATATACAATAGTGTACATTACAGAGGTACATTCTTTTTCTTCATATTTTGTTTGTGGGGTTTTTTTTTTTTTTGGTACAGTATTGTACAGTTACAGCAATAGTAGTTGCCACTCAAATATACATTATATAATTCCACGCGTAGTTCCTGTAGTAAACATTTTTAAATAAAAAAAAATTGCTTGCTAAATGTGTATTTGATTAATTGTAAAAGTGCACAAATTTGAAAATTATTTTTTCCTAATATTGCCTGTCACTTGTTCATTTTAAATAAAAAGCTTGCTAAACGTCTCTTTGATTGTTTAAAATTAATTAACTTTTTTTTTTTTTTACACTTTTACTAGCCACTGTTTTTCATTTTAAATGAAAAATTGCTTGCTAGACATGTCATAGATTATTTCAATACAAAAAAAATTGCTTTTACCCAATTTTACAAGACCCTTTTTTATTTGTTTATTTTTATTTTTGCCAACTTTTTTTATTTTTTCATTTGAATATGTAAGTGGGCATGGATCACTTTCTGATGCGTTTTAGCGTCAATCCGAGATATTTTACACTGGCTAGCATTAAGCAATTATAGCCTACCCACCATTACACAAAAAAAGTACCCACATTTAGCTTTCACGCATTTGTTTCAAACATTTCAAACATTTGTTGTTTGTCTCAGCAGCTATGCTTTAAAAATACCTGAGTGACTGCATCATATCTGCAGGTGTTCCTTCCCTGCAGCTCCCATTTCTCATGAACTTCAGGTCTATTTCCTGATTAGTGTTCATTCACTGGACCAAAAAAGTAAATAAAATAAAATAAAAAAAACAAAGAATCCAACATAGTATAGAATTTCATTAGTAATTTCATTAGAAGTTTGTCCACTTGCTAAGGATTAAAAAATATAAGGATAAAAAAAAAAAAATTGCAACATAAATCATACATACTTTTATGTTTAGTTTAGTTTTTTTTTTTTCTACAGAAATACAGGAAGACCTTGTAAAAAAATCGACTAGAATATGCAAATCTAGGTCAAAGTTATCTTCTTGTGTCATACGTTACACTTCTGAGCAGACGTCAGACAAAAATGTTTTTAATAAGAGAAGTATGAACTTGCCTTTCTGCCTCATATTGCTGCTTTAAATTCCGTCCACCAGAGGGCGACATACTTTTTGGTTTGTTGTCACTATTAATATAGTGGAATAAAATAGTTAGTGATTTGCACATCATCAACATACGATGATCCGCAATTTAATATTTGAACGTGTGTTATGTCTTCTATCTAACTTTAAGATAAAATCATATATTAAGAGAGAATGCACCAGTACCCTTAACTCAAGCGCGAGGCACCGAACAAGGAAGTTCCTGACAGAAATGAAAGGAAAGTTACTGGTCATAATGGTTTCCGTCGAGCTGCTCTCAGGACTTCTGCTGGAGGACTGCAGGTGTAATTGACATTAGTCCATAGAAAAACTCAAATTGGGATTAAAGTGGAAAATGCGCAGGCTTCTAACACACAAATGGTTGGTTTGTTCGTTTTTTGTGATTTTCTTGTGTTGTCAGTCAATCAGTGTGATGATGATAATAACGCTGATGTTTGTGATGATCTGAAGGGGAAATCCTCCTCACCTCACAGGCAGTGCATTTAGACTGTCGGCAGCTCATCCACACGGCGTCTTTCCATAAATAGCTTATTTTTGGAGAAATATGATTATGTTTATGTGTCTTCCGTGTTTGCAGGTCAAATAGAAAGGAAATGGATTTTATTTGACGCTTCTGTTGTGATGTGAGTGACTTTTGAGGCGTGTTGCGTTCACAAATAAACCGGTGAGTCACTTTTGCTTAAAACAACAGCAAGTTAGTTGGATGGATGAGAGAAATATGTATTTAGATTCTGTTTACCTTACGATTAGCTCTAAAAATAAAGCACTTAAAACTTAATTTCATTCAACAACATACTGTTTGAAGGTACTAACCAGGAGCTCATTGGCAACATTATTTGCATTTACAGTATGAACTACTGTTGAAATATATATATATATATAGGGTTATTCTTGGTTTCAAGGTTATTACTACTTTATTACTTTTTTAATATCGGGGCCTCCAATAAATGCCTTTCTAAATAAAAGCACCTTGAGTCCTTTTGTTCTAAAGTGAAGTTCTGAGAAAAATGTGTCTTAAATGTACGTTTTGGGGCCACTGTGGATACTTCATTAATCCAATTAGTGAAAATGCAGTAATTATTGGAGGACAGGTAATCATGAGGGAAACTTAGCGTTAAATATTTCCTGCTCTAGAGAATCTTTGATTATTTTTCTGTCATACACAGATCTGATCATGTCATCTGCTTGTGTCAACACAATGACAGCAAGTACAGCAAACCACCTTTGGTCGCTGGATGATGTTCTTGGTCAGGGAGCTACAGCAAGTGTCTACAAAGCACGAAACAAAGTACTTTATCATTATTACAGTTTTCCCATTTCCATTACACAAACAGCTCATAGACTTGACACTTTACACTAAATGACACTTTATATTGCTGTAGAAAACAGGTGAGCTGGTTGCTGTGAAGGTCTTTAACTTGGTGAGCTACAACAGGCCATATGAAGTTCAGATGAGGGAGTTTGAGGTGCTACAGAGACTCAATCACGTCAACATAGTTAAACTCTTTGCTGTGGAGGAGGTACGTATCTGATGTGGTTTGTGACACTGTTCAAAATTTTCCAACCACGGTACCACTGATTTTTCAGACAGTGCTTTGATGTTTGAGTTTCTCATGATGCATTGTATCAGGGTCATTTATGGCCAACTTTCTAAAGAACAGCACAAAACTACTGTATTTAGTGCAGTGAAATTGATTTGATAATTATTCACCTTTAGTACTCAACTCATTGTATGGTTTAAGAGTTAGAACTAGTCTAAAACAAGGATGATAATTCTGTTGCAACCGTTTGTATTGAAAACATTTATGTACACTACTGTTCAAAAAAAAAAAAAAGAGATAATAAGATTATTATTTTTATTTATTTATTTATTTTTTAAAGAAATTATTACAGCAAGGAACTGGAGAGTCCGTAAATATGTTTATAATTGTGCAAAATATTTATATTTTAAACCATTTAAAAATATATATATATTTTAGATTCATCAAGGAATCTTGAAAAATATGTATCATGGTTTTAATAAAAGATTGATTATAAGAAGAAATGTTTATTGAGCTCCAAATCGGTATATTAGAATAATTTATAAAGGATCATGTGACACGGATTCAGCTTTGCTATCACATGAATAAATTACATTTTAAAATATTTTACAATAGATTATTTTTAAATTGTAATAATACTTCACAATATTACTGAACTTTGATTAAATGAATGCAGCCTTGGTGAGCGTAAGAGACTTCTTACTGACCTCAAAACAATAAAG